GAGTCTTAATAGGAGTTAATCCTTCCTTTACTTCATGTAAGCTCGACATTTCTAATTTAGGTTTCGATTCCGTGCCAATGATCGATATTCTAGTTGTCAAAATTAACTCTTCCTTCCAAAATTTTTACGTAGTGGTTGCATATGTACCTCCTAGTCCAAGAACATGTGTGGAAGACATTGATGTATTTTTTGAATACTTAATAGCTCTTTGCTTTACTCTCGAAGGGGACGTAATCATCCTAGGTGATTTTAATATTCCGGCATACTCAGACTCCTTAATGGATCAAATAGGTAGTGATGGAAGGTTAAAGCCCCTTTTGAATTTCTTAGAGATGAGTCGCTATCGTCAATATAATTTCGTACGGAATTCTAATTTGCGACTATTAGATTTAATTTTGTCTAACATTGAATGCAGAGTATCAAAAGCTACTGATGTTTTACTTGATGAAGATCATCATCATCCCAGTCTTGAGATATTTATAAAACACAAATTATCATCTAAAGAAAAAAAAATATGTAACGGCAACTTTAAATCTTACAATTTTCGACATGCAGACTTTGCCCTCTTATATGACATGTTACTAAACGTTGATTGGTCGTTTCTAAAAGACATTACGGACCCTAATAAGGCAACATTGCAATTATATTCCCGACTAGATAAAATCTTTGAAGTTTGTGTTCCTATGACAAAGCGTTTCAATAAAAGACAATATCCGCCCTGGTTCACTGTAAATATAAAACAAATGCTAAAGCTAAAATGGAAATTTTGGTTGAAATATAAACGGTTTAGGGATCCTGCGGTATACTCCAAATTCAAGATTTTAAGATCACAAATCAAAATTGAAATAAAAAATGCATATAATGTATATTTAGAAAAAACTGAAAGTAATATACAGTCAGATCCTACACAATTCTGGTCCTTTGTTCACAGGTTGAGATCTCAAAATGTTATACCAGGAGTGATGACTTATGATTCAAAAGAGTTAAATGATCCGTTATCAATTGTCAACTCTTTCGCAAAGTTTTTTCAACAGCAATATATTCAGTCTCAAGCTTCTGCTGTACATACCATACCGTCGCTTCCTAATTTAAACATTTACCATTATAGTGAAGAGGAGGTGTATCAAGCACTGTTAAAACTAAAAAATAAAATGACATCTGGGCCAGACTGTATTCCAGCTTTTATTCTGAGAGACTGTGCTAATATTTTCAAATCTCCGCTTATGCTTATTTTTAACATGTGCCTCAACTCTGGTGTGTACCCCTCACTATGGAAACAGTCCTCTATTTGTCCAATATATAAAAAAGGGGATAAAAAACAAATTGAAAATTATCGTCCCATTGCTCTTTTGTGCAATTTTTCCAAGGTGTTCGAGATCTTGCTACACAAGAGTATTATGCGTCATGTTCAGTCCTACATCTCACCATTGCAACATGGTTTTGTTAAGGGTCGTTCCACTGAGACCAACTTATGTTTGTTTACACAATTTTTATCAGACACAATCGACACCGGCCACCAGGTGGATACGGTGTACACCGATTTTTCGAGAGCATTCGATAGGATTGATCATTTTAAGTTAATTAACAAATTAAATTCTTTTGGTTTATGTGATCGTCTATTAGACTTGATGAAGTCGTATCTTTTTGGTAGAACGCAGTTTGTGATCTGTAAAGGATTTAAATCGGTAGAAATAAATACAACATCAGGCGTTCCTCAAGGATCAGTTCTTGGGCCTCTTTTGTTTATCCTTTTTATTAATGACATAACATCTTCATTAGAAAGTCGTTGTTTACTATATGCGGACGACTTAAAAATATTTCGAGTAATAAGATGCATAGACGACTGTCTCACATTGCAAAATGACCTACACAGGTTATTAGTTTGGTGTTTGGAAAACGGTCTTTTATTGAATATCGGTAAGTGTGGCGTGATGACATTTTCTTTGAAACATATACTCCTCTTGTTTGATTACATGATTGACGATGTAGTATTACAACGATTTGACGTTGTCAAGGATTTAGGAGTGATATTTGACAAGAAATTGTCATTCAACAATCATGTAGAAACAATGATCATGTCAGCGTCGAAATCTCTCGGCTTTGTCTTACGCAATGGTCGTAATTTTCGCAACAGTGAAACATTATCAACATTGTATTTCGCGTTTGTGAGAACTAAATTAGAGTATGCGTGTAATATATGGGCCCCAGGATATATGATATATGTTAACATGATCGAAAAAGTTCAGAGAAAATTTTTAAAATTTTTACATTATAAGAAATTTGGTTTCTACCCTCCAAGAGGTTTTCCTGAAGAAGAACTCTTACAAACCTTTTCCATCAATAGTTTACTGAAAAGACGTTTATATTTTTCGTTCATATTCTTATACAAAATTGTCTCTGGAAATATCGACTGCCAAGATTTATTGAAATGTATAAATTTGTTAGTTCCAAGGGTAAATGCGCGTAGATATGACACATTTTACATTTTTACAGCTCGCACTAATGTGCGCAAATTTTCTCCAATTTATACCATCTGCGAAAATTACAACAGAAACCAGGATATGTTCGACATCTTTAACACCACTTCAAGAAAAATTAAAAATATATGCTTGTTACAGGCTGAATGATGGTGTTAAATTTAAGTTAGTTTTAATGTTAAATACATTCATCTTACCCCAATAAATGGTTGTACTGTGGGGGTGAATATTAATAATAATAATAATAATAATAATAAAAGTAGCCAGTCCGCCGATGGACTCGATTATAATACTTCCTTACTGTACGCTCGGGAAGTAAAGAATAATAAATTTTTGGTGTTGTTCCAAAATTTATATACCTACCAAAGACGAAAAAGTGCATATTATAGACGAATCTGCAGTTTGCCGAGGTACATATTACATTTCTCCATTGACCCTCCCGGTTCTAGCAAATTAAAAATTAATCTTTCAAGTGCAACAACTCTTTATTTTAATTATAATACTCAAAATAACAACTAATGTTGCTAAAATAATCTAACCCCCGGGACCCCGCCGATACGTAAAATGTTTCTTAGAAAACGTCAGAAATATTATATAACGTACCGAGGCGGAAAGTATTCCATTCCTACCGAGAGATAGTTTACCCAGAGGCGTAACCCCGAGCTGAACTAGTCTGGAGACAGGAATGGTACTTTTGCCGAGATTTGTTTTAATTGTTTTAATTTTAAAACAGATTTTTGTTCTTTTAATTTTTTTTAACTACCTTTTTCATATGTTTGACGTAATTGCTGTTTTTGTTACCGGAGCCGTAATTTTGAAATTTTAGAACAATATACAAACTGATCAAAAAAGTTATTTTTTTATAAATTTCTTAAATGAATAATATTACCAATGTTGACAATTGCAGTATAAATTATTAATGAAAAACTCTACTATAAAACATAAAACAAAATTATTTGTCTAGTGTTATATCTAAAAGAGTTTGTTGTCGTTCAAGAAGCTCAAATTTAGACCGAAAGATGGCACTACTACAAATTTAAAAATTTTTGACATTCTTACGGAAAACTTGACTCGATTAAATAACAAAAACTAATTTGCGGTAAAAAGTATATTTTAACTGGTTATTTAAGTAAAAACTGTTAAATATTTATCCAAAAAACAGACACCAAAAAAAAACAAAAAAAAAGTTTTGAAACAAAAAAGGATACATTTAATCAAAAGCAGTTTTTTAAAGCTTCTACTCAATTGGTAAATACAAGGTCTGGTAAATTTGACACTGACCCACTTTTACATAAAAAGTGAAAAACTGTTTGGATATTGCGAGGAAATTCACAAGGTTATAAAGAATATACTTTATGTAACCTATACAATTTAATAATATAGTATATAAAAGCGACAACAAACTGTAAATAAATATTTTTAAACGTTCGTTCGTTGAAAAAATTATATATACATCACTTGAGCAAAGTGCCATTTCCTCGCTCGGATTCTTAAGGCCCCTCGCTACGCGTCGGGCCTCAACCTGAATCCACGGGAGGAAATGTTTCACTTTGCTCCCTTGATATATAAATAACTATTGTGGTCGAGTAGCATCATAATTCACGTTTAACACATCGAAAATCATTTATAATCTGCCACATTATGGCACGATTTCAGATTAGCGGTGTCATGGAAAAATGGTACCTACACCTTAAGGATTTTTCACAAGACTTGAAAAAACGTCATAACAACCAACAGGAATTGTCATTTTGTATTTTTATTAAGGTGAAAAGAAACCGATGGTCTATTACCGCTACTTCGACCACAAAATGAAATATGATGTTCGTTTAGGTGTAATGCAGGACTTCGCTTCGCTCATGCGCTAAAGTTTCATTCGTGTTAGAATCCTTTGCATTATAAACTAATATCATAACCTACTATTATTTTTATACCATAATTAAGCACATTGTAATAATAACAATTAAGACGTTTTTAATCTACCTAAGTATTTTAAACTAAACGGCACCGCCTCTCTTCTTCCGTTGTATACCGACCGTTCCCGATGTAAGGTGGAAACCATCATAAATGGTTCTTGAGTGGAGGTCTTTAGCCGTCATTTGTTTAAATGCTGCTTCCTGTCATTCTGTCTCCATGACCTAGGAGTTTTTGGTTTGTCTTTTTGAATTTTTTAGACGTTAGAATACATATTAGTCATCGTATTATTGCTTGAAGAATTTAAAATAAACCAACTTCAATTGATTATTATTATCACAGTATTATTTATATGTATTTGGATCCAATTTCACGTTTGAAGTATTGTATTTCGAGAAAAGTGACTCTTCGTGCCTCGCACGCCCGGTTGTCAACCCTGCAGATTCATCACTTTCAAGTAAAGTCTCAATTTTGCTCTTAATAAAACACTATACTCCTACTATTTCTATTTGCGTTGACAAATTGAAAACGATTTTGTTTTGACAGAGTCGAAAAAAACAACTACAACTTTGTAGAAAGTATAACTGAAATTCCTATAAAATACCTGCTCACTTTGTTTTGTTCACTGATTTGCCATCCTTTACCCGATAAAAGATATCGCTATAATTGAACACCTTTGTGTTATATTTTGCTTCTGGACAAATGGTAACAGCAGGGAACGGCATTTTATACAGCGGTGTATCTTCGGTCGCAAAACTGACAACCACTGGACTATTCTCATATTTATTCAGAATTTCGGAAATCATATACATACAACCACCTAATGAAAATATCAAAGCCAAACTCCAAATAATCCTTAAATGTACGATAATTCACATAAAAAATAGTTGAAATAAACAGTCACTCACTTTTCAGCTGTTGAACGTTTTTCAGCAACGTACCGGAATCCCTGGAGACCTGTTACTTCCGCATATTCTCTTAAATATTTTCTCAGATTATGCCAGTATCCTTCTTCACTCTTTATATATGATTCAGCAATTTCTTTATTTGCTCTTTCATTCATTTCGTAAACAGTCATTCTTGAGAAACACCGACTTACTAAATTCATTTAGGAATGTGTAGGTTAAATTTGGTGTCACTAATAAGAAGTATAGTTCAAAGACAAGGCCATCGTATGCCGCTCTTTGTGAAGTTGGTGGGATTTTATCCGGTTGTTACGTCGATGTGGCATCAAGCTGTTTATTTGAGCTAAGCTAAGATAGCAGTCGGAATGGAACTGTTGATCTATTATTTTAAAATATTTATCGGTAAAATGCGAAGTGGGGTAGGTTATGTCAAGCGTTTATCTTGGGGCCACGGCGCCTTTAGGCTTTATATCAGACCTGCAGCATATTCCTAATCTTTACTTTCTGAGTGTAAGCTAAGGAAGTACCGAGAGATCGAAAAAGAAATTAGTCAAAATTGGCCATGCACGAAAAGCCGTTTGTCTTAGTTTAAAATAATTTCTTATTAAAGGTCACGTAATTTGCAAATTAATTTTGAGATGACGCAATCAATTTTTTGGGGTTGATAAACATTTTGATTAAAAGAATACTAAAATAACTTCACAACATCAAGATTTCAAAGTACATATTCAGTTTTGCAATTCTTGATTTAATCAATAAAATAAATTGACTCAGTCATTAATTTTTTTCAGACACCCCGTATAAGCAAATCTAATAAAAAATATAAATAAAAAATTTTAATGCAGTGATAAATAAAATATGAATGGAATGATAAATGACAAGTACAGATTCATCATATTTTGTATATTTTAGATAAGATTTTTTTCAGCAAAATTTTGGGGTGACGACATCAATTTTTGGGGGAGGGATAAGCAAATACATTTTGATCAACAATTTACCTTACCTAAGATAATTTTAAAACATCTCCAAGATTTCAAATCATTCGGTTTTGCAGTTCCTGATTAAATCAATAAAATAAATTCACGCATTCATTAATTTTTTTGAATTTGAGAAGATAAACTCGTTCAAATCAAACTAGTTTCTACGTGACATTTTTTCGATGCTTAAACATAAATAAACACTTGATCATCAGATTGCTATTCCCAAGTGTTGAAAGACAAGTGTTATTAGAGATGGATTACTTTAAGTTCAACAAAACACAGGATTAAAATTGTTATTTAAACCACAATCGAACAAAATGTTCTGAATATTAAGAAGATAAGACAGATAATTGCCAGAAGTACTGAACCAATTGTCACATTTTGTATTTATTTTAGAAATATAATGTAGATGTAGATGGTAAAATGCTAGCCAAACTTTGCCTAGTTAGAATTAGTTTTAACTGATATTCACTTTTAAGCAGCAGTAAATTCTGTTTCTCACAAAGGCATTTAGTAAAAACGCGTCGTAACTAGGGAAAAAGCGTTTTAACTGAAAACGGGTTTTAACTGTAACGTATCCATCATTTTAGAAAAATTATAAAATTTATTTTTGCGAATTTTATTTTTTCATGAGAACCTCTAAAAGTTGAAATGAACATGTGTAAATATGCAATGTCACAGTACATGTAAAGAAGCATGCTATGCGTATTTTAAATGAGTTTTTATTTCACAAAATTTTATGATGATGTCATCAACATTTTTACAAGGACACCTATACAAACTTGGATTAATGCAGTGTAAAATACTAATAATAACAGTATTGTATTCACAAATTTTTGGAAAAATTAAATGAGCCATTCTTGATTTGGTCGTTAAAATAAATTTATTAATTCGTAATTTTTTTGGCCACTTGCATACGCAAATCTAAAAAAATGAACGCAACGATAAGTCACAAGTATAGAGTGATAATAATTTGTAAAATTTGTGGAGGATTTATTCGACAAAATTTTGAGATGATGTCATGAATTTTTTATGAGAGGATAATTTAATACATTTTGATTAGCGATAACCGTAAAACGTTTGCAAGGTCTCAAAGCATTCGGTTTTGCAGTTCCTGATTTTTTCAAGAAAATAAATTGCCTTATTCATTAATTTTTCTGAGTCATCCTGTGTAATTAAATCTAAAAAAATATGAATGCAATGATAAATCACAAGTGTAAACTCATTTTCCACATTTTAGATAGGATTTATTCGATAAAATTTTGAAATGACGTCTTAAATGTTTTAGAGAAGGTAAGCAAATATATTTTGATTAAAAATTTATCATGCTTATAATAACTGTAAACCATCTTCAACATTTAAAATCATTCGGTTTAGCAGATTCGGAAATAAATTGCAAAATATTGTTATGTAATTTTGTTTTTTTTCAAAAAATCGATCCTTCGGATTTCGGAAAATAATTCACCTCGGGTCAGAAAGGTATCGTCTGTCCCTTGGTAAATAATTACTGTTAATTGTATACACAAATTTAAAGATGTTGAAAAGGTATTGATTCGAATATTATCTTTATAATAAAATCATGGACAGATAGACGCTGACAGACAACTGAATGATGTACATACACTCATACACAGACAGACTGACTGCGGATCAATAATTTTTGTTCTACAAGCTCTTAAATACGAGAAAACATACGTTAGTATGACCCCATTATAATAGCCTTTCCCTAGATAATTAAAAATCAAAAAGGTATTACATACAAATTAATTAGCTATTAATTTTAAACACAACGAGCCAATTTCAAGTTGGATTTGCGATATCACAAGTCCGTGTTACCATAGAAGAATCGATGACAGTAGTAGCGATAGCGAATCGCAGTCGCGAATTGTAACAAGTGTCACCGCATCTTGCATGGCTACTGGACTTATAGAATATCGCAAAACCAACTTGAAAGCGGCCCGTTACTTAATCAGAAAAGTACAAGCAATAATAGGTAGTTAAAATGAATTTTATAACCGCTAAATTAACTAGTAATTACAAAAATAATATCTAATTATTATAAGTGCTTTGGGAATATTTACATCATTCCACTCACACGAAATTGATATAAATGTTAAATTAGTGTTTATTCATTCTAGACCCTGGTGAATAAGGTTATACTGTATTCAATATAAAAAACATTCAAGGTTTCACTTTGGAGGAATTTGTGCGTAAATTAATGCTTACTTTCATTTACATATTTATGACACGCAAGATCTTGTTTTTCTTCGAAACGATTTGATGTGTGTAAGAATCCTTACATCGGTTGCGTAAAAAAAAAACTGGTTAAGAGTATTACAGCCACTAAAGTTTGTTTTTTTCCGTATGTCGTTTCCAAAATGAATTTTGGAAACTGCCAACTGTTTGTTACATCGACTGTTGTGATTAATAACCTTTAAACTGAGTTTGATATCGAAATGTCAACTGTCTCTAACACGATAACAAACGCCACTACAAAGCGAAAAAAAATTATTACATTTATGACTCTAAATATTTTAATATCAGGGATTTAATTTTGGAGACCGATAATTATTTCTATTGCGCCCTATTACTTCAAAACTATGCATTTTTGGGCATATGTTAATACCTTTCCGTCTCATTATAACCTGCAGAGACGCTTCCAAAATTTTCGAATACATCACGAAACACCCTGTACAGTCCGTCTGTTTTAATTTTTCCATGATATCGTAAAAACTCATTGTCTCTTTTTTTCACTACTGATACTTTGCGTTATGCTGTGAGAAACAAAAACAACAAAGCGCTATCTCATTTTAACTTAAGCGGATGTGCGACAGGAAACATATAGCTCCTCCTGTCGGAGTGAAACCCGAAATTTGACAGCGGTTTTCAAATAGTTATGAATTGTTGCAGGCCTTATAATAATTTATGATATACAAAAAACAAAAAAAGGGAGCAAAATGCGTTCTGAAAATTAAACACAAAACTAACTTAAAATTTACATTACATCTGTTTCATTAAACATCTTCCTTTCATGTTCAACAGTTTTTTGTTAGAGAACTTCTGCTTTGTACGAACGTTCCGGTAGATCTTTAGGACCGTCTCTAAAATGGTAGGTAATACGTACCATCTCAACCGCAATGACAGAAAGTGAGACAAAAGTAGTAACGTTTGAGAAGTATTATTTGTTGCGGTTTTACAAAACTATGGAATTCTTAAAACAGACGCACTATATGCCGCTTTATTTCATTTACAAAAAATTGGTCGAAAGTTGTTACCACAGAACTTCCCTCGTTCCTGAAATACAATGAAACATATCCAGCATTTTCGAGTTGAGTTTTTCTTTACACAATTCAGTGATGACGCCATCAACATTTTTGCAAGGACATGTAGGTATATCAACATTGGTGCAATGTAATACTAAAAATAATAGTATTGTATTCCCAAAATTTTCTGGGAAAATGGAGTGAGCCTGATTTAATCAATAAAATAAATTGACTCATTCATTAATTTTTTGAGCCACCTGTATAACCAAATCTAAAAAAATATGAATGCAACGATAATTCACAGCACATTTTGGGTTCAATTTATTCGGCAAAAGTTTGAGATGACTTCATCAATTTTTTGGGGGAATAAACATATAAAATTCTTGATTTCTTCAATAAAATAAATTGACTGATTCATTAAATTTTTTGAGTAAGCCTGCATAAGCAAATCTAAAAAATATAAACGCAATGATAAATTGCAAGTAGAGACTCATCATAGTTTGTACATTTTAGACAGGATATATTGGGCAAAATTTTGAGGTGACCTCATAATTTTTTGGGGGTTGATAAAAAGATACATCTTGATCAAAAATTTACCATGCTTATGATAATTTTGAAACATCTCCAAGATTTCAAAGCATTCGGTTTTTTAGTTCCTGATTAAATCAATAAAATAAATTCACGCATTCATTAATTTTTTTGAGTCACCGTGTATATGCAAATCAAAAAAATATGAATGGAATGATAAATTACAAGTACAGACTCATCATATTTTGTACAATTTAGATAGGATTTGTTCAGCCAAGTTTTGGGGTGATGTCATCAATTTTTTGGAGGGGATAAGTAAATATATTTTCATTAAAAATTTATCATGCTTATCATAACCTTAAATCATCTGCAAGATTTCAAAGCATTCGGTTTTGAAGACTCCAAATTAAATGGCAAAATCTTGTTTGATAATTTTGATTTTTTTTTTCAAAAATTTGGAGGTCTCGGGTAAAAACTCAATTCGCAGTCATAAACTACATGTGTAGGAATATGTGATTTTATACAAATTAAAACCCATTTACTATGTACAATTTTGAAGCGAGGTCATCACATTATTGATGAGGATG